AAAATTATATTACTGTATATTAGAAAAACACTAACAAGATACTTTTATAAGAATAAACTTGTTATTGTAAAAGTATCTTTATATTTTTACAAAAATAAGCTTATTAATAATAAGCTTATTCATGTAAAAATATCAATAATAATATTATTTTAAAATATCAATAATAATATTATTCTAAAAATATCAATAAAATCATAATATTATTCTAAAAAAATAATGTTATTCTAAAAATATCAATAATAATATTATTCTAAAAATATTTTGTCAAAAACTGTATTGGCTTAAGCCAATAAAGTTTTACTTTAAAGTATAATAATGTCATTTGTGTATTTTTTTATATATATGATGTGTTAACAACATTGGCATCTGATACTATTAGTTAATAAAATATTCCAAAGTAACGGTTTAATCTTAGATCCTAATCTTTTTTAATATATACTATCATTGGTATAACTTATACCAAAGATTAAGGTTTTTAAACTTATACTTTAACTTTAAAAACCTTAATCTTTGTTTACATATCATGTAATACTATTACATGATATGTAAACAAAGATTAAGGTTTTTAAACTTATAACTTTTTTAAAACCAAAACAATAACGATAAGTTTAAAAACCTTAATCTTTGTTTACATGATGTAAACAAAGATTAATGTTTTTAAACTTATAACTTTTTTAAAAAACAAAACAATAATGATAAGTTTAAAAACCTTAATCTTTGTTTACATCATGATGATGTAAACAAAGATTAAGGTTTTTAAACTTATCATTGTTTTGTTTTTTAAAAAAGTTATTATTACCATGAAAAACAAATTAACTTACTTTTTAAAGTCTTCTTTGTCATGACTTTTGCCATTTTTATTTATTAAATTAATCTAATATTAAAAATTAAATAATGCAATGTAGTAATAATTTTTTTGTTTACCATTCGTCACCCCCCTATCCTCCCCGTATTTCCCTTACCGATAAAACAAAAACAAAAAAAAAACCGAATTTAGGTACCAAAAGTCCTACAGTTCTTATACTATCTGCTCCCTAATATTTTTGGCTGAAATTTGGCATGTACAAAGAAAATGCATGCAAAAAAGTGCCTGAATAACAAAAAAAGCGGAAACTTCATTTCTTCGATAACAACTTAATGTGAGAACATCAACGAAATTTTCATGAAAGTTTTTAGCAAAACTAACCATAAAAAAGTAACTAACCTTTCTTCTTTCCAAATATAATTTTTGTTTATATATGTTTCTAAAAAAAAACACTACTAAAAACGTTTGTCTAACCCTACCTCAAAAAAGCAGTATATTTAATAAAGCACCTCTTAACATATCTGCTCCCTATTGTTTTTCGTTGAAATTTGGCACTTAAATAGAAAATACATGTATAAAGGTGGCTGAACAATCAAAAAAGCGGAAACTTCATGCCTTCGACTACAAATTTATGTGAAAACATCAACCAAATATTCAGGAGCAAAATAATCCGTTAAAAAGTTTAGTAACCATACATAAAAATTCAAAAAAAAATAAAGATCAGCTTCTCTTCTTTCCAAAAAGTATCTATGTGTATATATGTTTTTAAAAAGAAACAAAAAAAAAAACGAGTCACAAAATTTTAGCACAAAAATCGGTTCCGTAAATGACGATATGCGCGTACCTAATATGACACACATAAAATCAAAACATAAAAACAAAACTAATATAGACACACATAAAATCAAAACTCATAAAATCAAAACAGATTGTTAAAAGAAAAACATAAATGCATTATTTAATAATTATCAATATTGAACATACAGAATTCTATGATTTTAAATATTATCTAAAAGCTAAGTTTTTAGTACGAAGCCACTTTTCAATAAACTCCATGAACAATGTTAAATAAAATATAACAAATCAATAAAGATTTTGGTGAATATATAAAGATTTTGGTGAATAATTTTAATTGTTTGTTTTCATATTGGTCTTTAAACCATGCCTAATATCCATCGCTTCACCAAAAAGTATTACCACACACTGTTGACACAGTCAGACACCTTTTTTAACAAGCTAGAAAAATCTGCATGCATTGTACAATAGTTTTCTTTATAAGAATTGATTTTTTTTTTGTCAGCAAAAAATAGGCAATATTGTTTATTTAGTTTTTTAAGTGTAAATGTTTAAATAAAGCATTTATATGCAGTACAACACTTAAATCTATTTCTTTAAGACAATTGTTTTTAAAGCTGCTAGTTTATAATGACAACAACAACAATACATTCAGGTAAGCTAATCCAAATTGTTTGAAAGTCTTTCAATTCAACCCTCTTTGCTCTGAATAGTTCTAATCAAACTTTCTAAATAATTTTGCTTAAAGTGAGATGTGAAAATACTGCTTAACTTTTTTTCAAGTTAAAAGCTAAACTTTTTTTTAAAGCTCCTGACACCATTTTAACATACTAGTTATTGTAACATTTATTCTCTAATGAGGTAGAGCATTTAAAAGACAAAACATTCTTTTCTTAATCCGAAGTTAAAATACCCTTAACAGTAACATGTTATTTTCCTTTGTAACATGTTATTTTGTTTTGATGTTACATCATATAGAGCAGGTTTATCTACCTGAAACTTCTTTGAATTTATTAGATTAAAATGAGTATTATTTTTGTCAACAAATTGGTTGGTCAATAAGAAGTCAGTATAACAGTTGACAATAATAATTAATTCAAATAATGCTCCAAGAATTTCGGTGCACGACAGATAGAACTGCATTTATGTCTTTCTATTTTATACATCGTCTGAATGTGATGCCATGAGACTATATTTAAAACATAAATACTGTAGAAATGGCATTATGAAGAAGACATTTTCCCTTAGTGTTTCTTAAATAAAAATTAAACTTTTAAAATAATTGATGCACAAATTCCACTCGTATTTGCGCAGTTAGTTGCACAATTTGAAGGTATTTCTGAACAATAAAGAGTATTATTTATTAAAGAATAACGCAATATAAAACAGAAAACTTTGCAGAGATTCAGCCAAGTTTGTTGTTGTGAACTTAATTCTATACTAACAGTACATCCCAGAATGCCTTGCGCATACGATTACAGCCCTTGATATAAATATATATATATATATATATATATATATATACATATATATATTTATATATATATATATATATATATATATATATATATATATATATATATATATATATATATATATATATATATATATATATATATATATATATATATATATATATATATATTGAGAAATATGCTGAATTTTTCAACACAAAATTTAAAAATAAAGCAATTTGGTAAAAACATTGCTTTTCCTTAATTTTACATTTACTTATCCTCTGATATGGTACTCAAACAGTTCAAGTTTTAATAGCTTAAGAAGACATTATGTCTATTTATACTTATTATGACTCATAGATTGCTTTTTGGGTCTTTTGGTAAATAATCACCTTCTGCTAATATTGTCATGTGTTTACTCTCAGCCAAAGGTCTTCAGAATTTACTTGAATTATGCTCCAGTTATGCTTTAACACATGATATTTTTTTAGCAATGTTCTGTAAAAATATGAAATCTTGGTTGTAAATCTTTGTTCAAGCCCATTATCCATCATTATCTCATTAAAATACTTGGGACATTTGTTATCAGTTAATATGCTTTATGAGAAGGACATTCTAAAACAATTAAGTTTTGTTTATGGCAAAGATTAAGGGTCGTCCATAAAGTACATACAAGGGGTGGGTTACACAAAAACGTACAAAAAAGACTTTAGTACTAATAGCTCAAAATTTACTCCAGAGGATTCAAAGGGTTTTGAAACTTGTTACATAAAACATACAGGTAGTGCAGGAACTGGTTCCAGTAGATTATTTGGCATTATCAACCCACGCTATCCATTTCCAAGAATTGACAAGGCAAGAACCTAAGTTCATTAACAACCTTATTATGGACAATGAGTATTACTACCACCAAAATGGTTTACTTAATTAATAAAATATGCAATTTTGGGGTACAAAAGATCTAAGAATACTCTACCAACATTGTGCACATCCAGTAAATGTAACGATTTAGTATAGTATTTGTGTGTAAAGAATTTTGAACCTTATTTCTTAAAAGATGGTGCAGAAAACACACATACGGCCAGTGGCAAAAGGTTAGAGGAAGGTGGCAGCAAGATGGTGATACTGCCCATACATCTTTCCCAACAATGTAACTCTTAGATCAAATTTTTGTAAAAATAGTTTCATGAAATTCTGGCTTATTACTTAAAATGAGAATTTCATTGTGATGACTCCTTAAAATGAATATGTTATAGTGTCAAAATTAAATAAAATTTACTTCCAAGAAGTGTGTTTTCTGTTTATAAAATTATAAATACGAATTATGAAAAAATTAAAAATAAATTTTTATTATATATATATATATATATATATATATATATATATATATATATATATATATATATATATATATATATATATATATATATATATATATATAAAGATTAAGTAACATCTTTATTATTGCTTATATATAACTAAGTCCTTTTGTTTGGTCATTTAGTATTAAGTTATTTTAATATTATTATTGGGTGTTTTTTTGTACATATATTTAATTTTATGGCAGAATCAAGGATAAAGGACGGAGTTCTTAAGAACACCTTCTTACATATGGTTAAAATTTAAATTCATTCTATCTAGCAATGCCATTCTCGATCTTTTTCCACGGGAGAACGTAGTGAAAATTTCAATTTTAATTAGTTTAGCACCACGTTCTTCTATGGATAAGAGGAGAATGCCATCCCTTATCCCATCAATAGATACTAATTGTTTCCTATTAGCAAGAAAAGATCTAAACCAGAAGCTTGTCTTTAATAATTTTTTACAAAAAATAATGTTTGTAATAATGAATTTAAATGCTATATTATCTAACAAATTTAAAAATTTATATATATTTTTTTTGTATTACAAATTAGGCTTTTATATATAAAAATTTAGTTTCATACATTTTAGATAAAATGAGTTTTATATTTGAGAGAAAAAATATTTGTCTTAAAATTTCGAAATGTGATCACAGTGGCATTAAATTAAAGAATCTTCCACTAGAATCCAGCAGAATTTTTACAAGTGAAGAACTTATTAATGTTATTAACAATGGCTCTGAATTAGTAATTAATTATAGTGAATATAATTTTGAAAAGCTTTTTCATGTTGAAGTGGTCACATCTTCCAATGATAATTCCCCCATTTTGCAAAGTGGTAATAGTTTATGGTCTGGTTATTTGCAAGCAAAATTATATATGATACAGAGTTTGGATACTGCAATGAAAAAAGGAAATATACTTCTTTTACCTGGTATTACTAATGGTGAACTAGAAATTTTTGTGGTTATTTGTAAATCTGCATTTCATTTAATTACTGAACCTGATGAAAAGTCCCATGGAACATTTACAGGAAATTTAAAACCAATTTTTCAATTACTTTTTTCACTAATTGACGATTGTACTCAAAATTTATATCAAAGTTCTCCAAAATTAAAAAGTACTAATGATTTATATACTTATATTAAACATCACAATTCAATGTTAACTATATCATCAAATCTAAAAAATGTTCAGCACCAACATCTTAATCCAACACTGAGAAAATACCAAGTTGAAGCTGTGTCTTGGATGATATCCAAAGAAAATGAAGATTTTTATGAGACAG